AGGTATGACAATTTCCTTGCCAGGGTACCCCATGTTGCTTAGTGGAAGGACTCGTGGAAATAGGACATTTTGCAGTGACATTGCAGTTAGGTGACCTTGCTCAAGGACCAGGGCGGATCCGGGATTAGGGTGTTCCCGGTTTAGGATAATCAGGTTTAGGGCGTTCCAGGTTTAAGATTATTCCTGCTGGGAATAGGGCGTATCCTGCTGCCTGAGTTCCCCTTGAGTTCTCACGGGATTCAGACAGTATTTTTTGGGAGATAGAAGCCCAGTGGATGTGATTTTGGGCAGAGAACGTGGATTTCCCCAGAACGTGATTGTAGACGGCTGGTGTGAGTTCAGGAATAAAGAGTTGCTGTTTGAATCTACAAGCTGTGTGGTGGCTCGTGATTGTGTGCCCAGCCAGACTGCGGCATTTGTGCCCAGCCAGACTGCGGCAATATTGTAGAATCACATTGGTCATATAATCACATATATACATAAAGTAATAATGTCTGTTTCCTTCTACTATATTTCTTATCCCCACATCCCCTGCCTTCCCCTCCTTTCATTACCTCCTCTACCTAATATAAGGTAACTCTATTCTTTTTTTTTGCATCACAATTCTTAATATACATACATACCATGAGTTGTGTATCTCTGTTTGTATATAAAGTATGTTGACTTCCAATTCAAGTTTTCACACATGTACTTTGTATAATGATGTCCATCACATTTGGAATTAAACTAGAATTCAGCAACAGAAAGAAAAAAGAAATTAAAAGATGTTTAGCAAAGTGGTAGATCGATGTTTGAAGATGTGGAAAAGCAGAGGGGATTGTAGTACTCATTAGAACTGGAAGTACTACATGGAATTCCGAGAGGCTTGCTTTTACATGGAATCAGGGCATGGTGGACAAAGTGGATTAAGAATGTAGTAATGTCACTAGGCAGAGCTGTCCCCTGAGGTAGCACTTCTATCTCCCGCAACCTGTGCTTGGAATGCTGGACGTCCAGAAGTTCTGGTGTTCTTTTAGGGCGAGAACAGGTTTAAGAAATCCAGTGGATTCCTAGAAACCTAGGGTTAAAGTTATTACTAGAAACCTAGGGTGAAACAAATGGTGTTTCAATAACCCATGTCTGAGAAAGGATCGATAAGTTGATGATGAATACCACACACATGTACACAAATACTCAAGGAGATGAATTTACATGTCAGTACTTCCCTTCAGTATACTGCCTTGTTCAAGGAACCCTATTTTTTTGTTAGGACTTATTGCACCATTTTATTAGGTAGATATTTCCATTGCCTCTCTTGTGTGTTTTCTCATAGTGGAATATTTTGTATCTCATCAACATTTCTCACTCCATAAATCATACTGCTCCTTCAGTTTTATAATACAATTGTAACTTTCTCAATCTGTATCATTTATTTGCACACAGACTTACATAAACCTTTGTAGGATTGTATTAACAGAGGTTAGCTGTTATAAGTTCCATTGCAAACAACCCTCATGTTTCAGCGGCTTTGAAAGCAAAGTCTGTGTAAGTTACGCAGAATATAGAGCAGGACCCAATTACCCTCTTTGGCTGATGTCTTCTATACAGGACTTGTTAGTGCTGGCTCCTGTGATCCTGTGGCTTTGTCTTTTCAAAATGAGGCTACATGCACACCTGCCTTGGCAGGGTGAAACCCAGGGTGTTTGTTCTCTCAGTTCACACTCCATTGGCTGGAACTGATCAAATGACCATACATAACTGTATATGTTTGCAGAATAGGATACTTGGGATAGCGATGAACCTGAATATGTCTATATAGGCATATATCATTACTATAATTTTTCACTTAAATTCATTAAATCTCTCTGAACTTTATAAATTTCTTTAGGGACATTTTTTAAAATCACCTGAATCTGATTTGTTTGGGAACAAATTAAGTAAAATTTGGTAAATTTGACAAATGAGAATTAGTACTGCCTTTACTTTCATAGCTCTTGTATTCTGCGATGTCACTGTTGGCATTTGTCCCACTTTAGAGAATGGCCAGTCCCCCCTCCAGCATCATTGAGTTCACCTTCTCCCCATTCTGCATCTTCATCTTCAGACAGACCTTAAGTGAAGGGCTGTGTCACTATTGATAATTACAATGTTTATTCAAGTATTATATGTTGTGTTGATATCTGTGTATTATATCAACAAGTATCAGATTTCTACTAATTGTTATGACCCTGTTATGACTAAAATATATTTCTTAGTTAATAAGGTTGGGAAGGAAATACATAGTTATAGTTATAAATATGGTGGTCAGGGAGGCATCATGAGAAGGTTAGTCTGGAAGAGGAGTAAATAAGAGAGCTTTCTGGGGGGAAAAGACACATTTCAGGAAAAAGAAACAGAGGGAAAAGTATTTCTGCAGGCGGTAACAGCAAATAGAAAGTCCCTGAAGTAGGTTGTGTGTGTGCGTGCTTGGTGTGAAGTGGCAAACATGGCAGAAGTGGAATGAACTGTGTGTGTTGGGGCAGGTGTTGGAGGTGAGGTTAGAGAGACAGCTCAAGCCAGGTGTGGTGGAGAAGCTTGTGTGAAATTGTGATCACTGGCCTTTTCTCTGGGTTTGGTAGGATCCCACTGGAAGGTTTTACATAAACAGTAATACAATCTGACAAATTGTAACAGGACCACACTGACTCCTGTGGAAAAGAAAATAACTCAGAAAAGAAGTGAATTCAAGAGTTAGGGAGTAATTAACAAATATGGATATTGGTAGTGGTTTGGACAAAGCGTGAGTTGTAGAGTTGGTGAGAAGTTGTTCAATATTTAAAGTAATGCTCATTGGTAGGGAGTATGAGAGAAAGAAGGAATTGTGGGCTACTTCAAGGTTTGGAACCTGAGTAATCAGAAAAATAGGAAGGCCATATTGGGGTAGGGTGGGGATTAGGAACCTGGTTTTGGGCTTTCTCACTTTGAAATGCCTATTAGACATCCAAGTGCAGATGGCTGTGAGGCAGTTGGATACAGGAGCTGGAATTAATGGGAAGGATTCTGACTGAAGTTTCATAGTTGGGCACTATCAGCATATGCCTGAGATTAGCTTGGTTCTATAAGGGGATTATTTCAGATAGAAAATAGAATATATCCAAAGCCTAGCCTTTTACAGCCACTTTAGTGTTAAGAGGTCTGAGAGAGAAAGAGGAGCCAGCAAGAAGGAAAAAACGAAAGGGGGTGTGTTGTTAAAGGGGTGCTTCAAAGTGGAGGGAAGATTAAACTCAGGCATTATCTTGCTGGTATTGCAAAGTAAAATAAGGACTGAGAATCAACCACTACTTAACTACAGGGAAACCACTGTTGGTCATGAAGAGTAACGCTGTGGATGCTCTTATGCCTTGTATGCAAGTTTTCATATGAATGGGTCTGTGGTGTTAAAACGTTCCCTGCGCTCTGCTCTAGCTACTCAGAGAGCGCAGCTGTTGGTAACTGTAATTTGTAAATTACTCTGCAACAACTACTTGGAAAGCACAGCTATTTTTAATTCATCAATCCAAAGAAACATCATTTTTGCATTTGCACAAAGGCATAGTATTTGCTATCTAAGGCCCTGTTGACAAAAGCATTTTCCTGGATGAAAGCCTGTTTGGAGTGGGTTCAAAAGAGAATGGAAGGAGAAGAATTGAAGAGAGCAAGTAAGAAGTAGGAGAAAAATGAGTTGGTAATTGGAAGGGATGTGGTATTGCGGAAATGTTATCATTACCGTAGTATTATTTTTAAAATGGAAGATTTAACCACGTGTTTGAATATTGGTGGAAAATTTCAGTGCAGAAGGGTGCTGTGTACTTGCTTATACTGGATTCTGATTATGTTATCTCACTGGCTCTTTCCCATTAAAAGGGTTAAGACCATAGGGACAAACGAGTTAAAAAGCATGTCTAAGGCATCACATTGATTGTTTGAACGAATACTGCTGTATTCCCTGTGGCCCACAAATGTCCAACACATAGTAGGCAGTCAATCAGTATTTTCTGAGTATGAATCAAGATTTGAACTCATATCATCTAATGTCCAATCCTGGAGCGCTATCTGGTTGGTCTCTAGTATCTTTTTTTATGCATATCTATTTACATAGCAGCAGTTTATTTAGACTTTCACAGAGAAGAGAATACATTTATTCACAACACTCTACCTGAGGACCGGGAAAGTACTTTTCCATTTCTCTGTGTGACCTAGGACATGTTTGACACCATTTAAGTATTCAGTATAATCAAGGATTAGTACATTCAAAAGTACCTTGATTATGTGAGTTGTATTAACATTTATTATTCCTGCCAAATAATTCATTCAATAAATTTAAATTTAAAATCTGTTTTAAATGCTGATGTTTTTACTGATTATGAAGTAATATATGCTCATTATAGAAAATGTAGAAAATGCAGAAAAGTAGAAGGAAAGCAATTCACCCCTAATCCTACTATCAGCAGAAGATAAATTTGTGTATCTGCTTGGTGCATTTTCTTCTGCTCTGTAGTTTTTACTGTATTGTTCTAGAAGTCACCATAGTAATTATAGTAACAACTATGCTGCTTATTTGCACATAAGGTGAATTATTTCACCTACACTTCAATCTATGAAAACAATCCATGAAAAAGAAATTAGTGTTGCAACATTTCATAAATGAGAAAAGTGAGACAGGGAGATTGAGCCCCTTGCTCAAGGCAGCAAGTGCAGCCATACAATGCCCTTGAATTCACCCCTTGGATTTCAAGTACTGTTAAATCTAATTTTCTCTCAGGTTGATAAGGGTCTGTTCTGCTTTTAAGTGTCTGTCATACACCCTTTAACAATTAAGCATTCTTCTTGAAAGCCTTCATTGATTGAGCCCCTTGAAGATCCATGGACTTCCTTGCCTCTGCTCTCTGATCTAAGCAGCCTGTTTTGGAAACATACAATTGCTTTTTGGGCTTCTCGTCCTCGTTAATAATTTGTAAACTCGAGAAAAAAAAATAGTTTGACTTCTCTGTTTTATTTTACAGAACCTGATACAAGTCCTTGACACCATGCAGGTGCTGAATAACTGTCTAATTGGTAAGTTCTTCCACATCTGGCTCCTAGTCGCTGTGCTGCATTATGGGTCCACTTTTCTCTTTCCTGCATTAGGGGTCGGCATAGGGTGAGGTGAGAGTGGGAGTCGTTGAGGAGTTCCCTTTCTGTTTAATAACATCTTTTGTGATTTTATGGGGGAAAATAAACAGCTCTGAAGGCAGGCAGCCTGGGTAGACTGTGGTTAGACATGCTCTGAGCACTTAATGCATTGTGTGGATAATGACAATGGTCAGTTCCTAGCAGCTTCAGTGGTTCTTCCATTGGAGTGTTGCTAGGCTTATTTGCTGTAAGTGATCCCTGCTGTGTTAAAAAGGGAAATAAATATCCCAGTTTCATTTTAATATTATTTTTGCTAGGAAAGAGAGAATCATTTTTTTTAAGATACTGAGCTTTTCAGCAGCCTGCCAAAGTTACTATTACCATCATTTGTTACACTGGCTTTAAAAAACAAAACAAAAAATTCCTATATTCAGTGTGTCTCTTCAGAACCTATTTTATTTTTAACACTCAGTCATGCCTCTTTGCTGATCTTTTGTACTGCTGCTGTGTTGGCATTAGCTTTGCTATTTATGATTTCTGCATTTCCATTATGATGCTCACATGTTTTTTATTTTAGTGCAAAAGTACATTTGACTTGCCCTAAAAACCCTGCCCATTCAAATACAAACCCTACTGTGCTGTTTCCACATATGTCTTCCAAATCTTGGTGACCAAATCCAGATATGGGAAGATGTGAGGTTCTATTTCATTTCTATTCCAATAAAGTGGAGTGTTCATTATTCCTTCCCAGTTCTCCAGGAGGGCAGCAATCAATTTTGGGGAAATCCCAATCCATTGTTCACCTTCATGAGCCAGTGAGATCTATTTGCATTTTACATGAAAATATTGGAGCATATTCCTGCTCTGTTTGGAATATGCCTTCCCATGGCCTGATCAGGTTTACATGGGGGAATATACATAATCATCTTCCTGATTAAGCATATAAACCAAGGTTCAAAGTCTAGCTCTGCTCTTTACAAGTTTGGACTTCTGAGGAGAGGACACATTGATGTTTCTGCTTTGCCAACCCTCTTTTGTTTCTGTAGGCCCTATCACTGTAGCCTGTTTGCCTTCTCCCTCTGTCTACCTCCTCCTATTTGGCTAACTATGCGATGATGTGTTGACTTCTACACTTTCCTGCCATTGCTTGCAACACCTAATAAACAATATATGCTGTTATTAATTCCATATATTTCTTTGTGCCAGGATGTGGGTTAGGCCAATGGTTTTCAACAAGGGTGATATTTGCCCACAGGAGACACTGGAAAATTTTGATTGTCATGATTATGATGTGGGAGGATTACCATTTAGTGGCAGAGGACACAGATGCTATGAAAAACCCCCAAACAGACAGGGGAGCCTCTCAAAATGAGGAATTATTTGGGCCCAAAATGTTGACAGTACCAACGTTGAGAAAAACCTATGCTGAGCCCTGGATATAAAAGTTATACAAAATACAAGACAATTAAAGCAAAGATATCCCATAGGTGATAGAGAATAAGATATTTTATAGGTAACTAGCGTACAGAAGGCATAAAATGAATTCCAGTGGTACTAAAGTAAAAAAAAAATAGGAAGTTTTCTTGGTGTGTAGGAATGGGTAAAGAGTACATTTTTTGCTGAGAAAGTGAATGGGGCAGAAGTTGGAACACAGGTGGGCATGCCACATTTAGAGACGAATGTAGGGTGAAGGCTTGGCAGGACCTGCTGTCAGAAATCCTGGGATGGAGGATCTCGATTCAGTTCTCAATTGTGAGGTACTTTTCCTAGAAATAATACCTCCCAGCAACATTGGAGTAAAAGATCTGGATTGATTATGTGGGGACTGTATCCCAAAATTCAACTCAGAGATTATTTACATGGCCTTGCAATGGATGATGGAGCTGGAGAGAAACTGTCCTGGATGTCAGCTCGTGGGGTCCAGGTGGGCATCAAATGTGTGGACATTTCCTTTTCACTCCTTCCCTTCACAGACTAGTGGGGGCAACATGTCGGGTTGTTTCAGGTGAAATCAACAAGGTCATTTCTCTCAGGCCAAGGAAACATTTGCCAGAAGGAAGCTGGGCAGTGTGCAGTGAATGCAGGACTTGTTCTCCTTCTACCCATTACGCTATTTTTCCTTAAAACTAAAGCTGTGAATCCAAAAGTTTACTACTGCTCTTTGTCCATTGTATTTTGGATTGACCTCCCACTTCCTGCAAGGGGGATCAGTGAGCAATGGTGTCTTTAAACAGGAAGGAAGTGAAGGAGGGTGAGGGGCGGGTGTAGGTGAAGATGACAGTTCACTCCTTTTCCTGTTGGACCTTAGGGAGAAGAAGTTGTCAGCATTCAGAAAGAGACTCTGTCTGACATTAGCTTTAGAATAGAGGAAGTAAATGCATGTAAGATCAAGCAATAAAAATGTATACAACAGAACAGGAAAAGAATTGAGGACAGAATCCTGAGGAGTCCTGCTCTTTGGTGGCCAGACAGTTAGAACTGCCATTGAGGAACAAGCAGAAAGCTAGTTAAGAAGAAGAATAGAGTGGTGTCAAGGAGGTCATCAGAGAGGACTCTCTTAACTCTTGTTTACTTCAGGGAATTGGATTTTGGTGGGGTGGGGTTTGAAATTTTTTATTTTATTTTTTGTATATACTTCTATACTCTGACATGTTACAATAAGTGGATATTACTTTAAAAAGTAATGCTATTACAACTAGAATTTCATTTACATACAATAAAATATGTCCCTTCTTAAGTGACTAGTTTGATGCTCCTTGACAATTTTTTCACCCTTGTAATCTCATTTTAATCAAAACATAAAAATATTCTCTTATCTGAAACAGTCCACTTGTGGTTCACTGCAATCAGACTGCAGCATCAACCCTGGCTGGGGCTTCAGCCTGTTCCTCTGCCCCGCAGTCTTCACATTTGTGAGCCCCCCCCCCCCCAGCCACGTGAGGTGATTCTTAAATGGATCTCTTACATAGTATAAATATAATTGTGAGGTTTTTTTTGCCTTTTCCTCTGTTATTAGTGACATGCATATTTATTATTATGTTTGCTCTGTCAGGGCTTCTTTAATTAGAAAATGTCCTTATTTATCTTTTAGGATATTCCTTGTCCTGAATTCTAGTTAGTGTGATATCAACATCACCACTTCCACCTTCTTATAGTGTTTACATAGTATATATTTTTATATTCCTTTTTTTTAAAAAAATATACTTTGTCTCTTATTTTCACAGGTACGTTTTCAAACTGTGGAGAGTTGAGTCTTTTTAAGAATTGTTTTATTAACATGTAATAATTGTACACATAAATGGGATATGGTGTGGTATTTCAACACATTCAAACAGCATGCCCTGATCATATCAGGTTCACTAGTACTACCCTCTCCTCATCATTTTTTCTAGAAGCTGCAGTCTTCTAGATCTTCAAGTATTTAACAGCTTATTTTGAACTTTAGTCACCCACCTGTGCTATAGAACACCAGAACTTAATACTTCTCCTCACTTGTGACAACAACCAACCAAATGAAGAGACAACCTACAGAGTGAGAGAAAACATGTGCCAACTACTCATCTGACAAAGAATTAATACTCTGAACATATAAGGGGTTCAAAAGATGTAACAAAAATAAGTATCCACTTAATAATAAGATTCCTTGTAATGAAAATTATTTAAATAGGGGCTGGGATTGTAGCTCAGTGGTAGAGCGCTTGCCTAGCATGATGGGGCCCAGGCTGGATCCTCAGCACTACATAAAAATAAAGGTATTGTGTTGTGTCCATCTACACCTAAAAAATTTAAAAAAGGTATTTTTTTAAAAAAGAAAATTATTTAAATAGACATTTTATAAAATAAGATATATAAATGTCCAACAAATATATGACAAAATGACCAGTATCTGCTGCAGTCTGGCTGGGCACACAATCACGAGCCACCACACAGCTTGTAGATTCAAACAGCAACTCTTTATTCCTGAACTCACACCAGCCGTCTACAATCACGTTCTGGGGAAATCCACGTTCTCTGCCCAAATCCACCTCCACTGGGCTTCTATCTCCCAAAAAAATACTGTCTGAATCCCGTGAGAACTCAAGGGGAACTCAGGCAGCAGGATACGCCCTATTCCCAGCAGGAATAATCTTAAACCTGGAACGCCCTAAACCCGATTATCCTAAACCGGGAACACCCTAATCCCGGATCCGACCTGGTCCTTGAGCAAGGTCACCTAACTGCAATGTCACTGCAAAATGTCCTATTTCCACGAGTCCTTCCACTAAGCAACATGGGGTACGCTGGCAAGGAAATTGTCATACCTACTTGGCTAATGGCTCCCAGCATCTCCCCCCTTCTGATTAATTAAACAACAAGCAATGTGGCTTAAGGACCGTGCCTGGTAGGTTGTCCAATTCAACATATGGTTCTTACCCGTCATCGGAAAACTGACCTTTAGGCGTCAGCCTCCTGTCTTAGGTTGATACCACTGCAATTGGATCATACCCATCACTGACTACCGGTCCAGCATACAGCCATTGGCCCCCAAATTTTAGACCATCACTAGCAGAAGGGAGGAGGATACAGAAATGCCACGACACCAAGCCAATTGACGGCTCCTTGGGAAAAATTGCACCACTGGTGACACTATCAGCAAAGATATGCCAGCACTACCACAATTAACATGGGGTGTGCTGGCAAGGAAATAAAAATTGCATCACTGGTGACACCATCAGCAAAGATATGCCAGCATTACCACAATTCGCTGCACCAAACGATAGTTACATAGTCCAGGCAAGTTCTGCAAGCAGTTCAAAGCGGAGGAATCTATCAATATGTCCATTTCCTCCCAAAATCCGTTTCCTCCCAAAGTAAGTTGACTCCTTGATTGAGCATTACTTGTTGAGTTATATTCATTGATGCATCAGTTTATATAGTTTACTGTGATAGCTATCATAGAAGCTGTAG